GTCAAGTCAATAGGAAACAATCCTGAAAAGACCTGACACAGGACCTTAAAGATGCATCTGGCCCTTCAGTCGATCCTACTTGTTGTCAGTATATCTGGAGGTCAGGAGAGAGGTACAACAGTGAGTGCCTACAGCATCTGTAAAACATGCTGGACGCTCTACATTTCAGGCAGTTGTGTTCACATCTTTTTAAAAATGATGGAATTATGGACTCGGAAAAGTACCGTTACCATGCAACACTTTCTGAGAAGCATCTGATTGGCAGCAGTTTCATTTTGGGGCATGACTATGACCCCAAACACACTGAATGCAGTGAAAACATACCTGGATACAGAAACATAGAGCCTATAGACCTCAACGTGATTGAAACGCTTTTATGTGTAAACTTTGTTTTTACCTTAGCTTATTGTATTTCTGTGTATTATTGCATGTTTTTAGTCAATCGCTGCTTTAAAAAAATAATCATATATTAATTCATGCATGCTCAGCTCAGAATCAGTCAAAGGTTTAAGGGCAGAAAAGAAAATGAAGCTTTCAGTAACGTTTTTAATCATGAGCCGCTCTGACCACATGAAGTTTGACCCCCGGGTAATCATTGTCATGAGGAACACAACCATTACAAGATAAAGTCATCAGTTTGCAGAACAAAGTCTTTATTTAGTCTCAGTTTCAGTCAATTGTAACCACGTGTTTAACAAAAACAAAAGTTTGCTTTCATTTTTTGTAATATGGCAATTTTACACGAACGAAGGACGTATACACAGTTTACTACAGCCAGACTATAGGAGCACGGCGCATGCGTGAGATAACGCTAAAATTCCAAACCGGAAAGCGAGTGATTCCCGAGTGATTCATCTCAAACACACACGATCTTCGTTGCAACTCCAGCAGGCAACTCTGAGGCTCAAAACAAGTAAGTTGACAGCTCTCTTATCAACACTTGTGATCATCGCACTGTCACATTTACCTTCACAAACTCCACGAATGGCGCTTTCCTTCTCCCCCCCCCCTCATTTTCCCTCCGAGTAGTGGTCTGAGTGTGTTGGACTTCGAGCTGGTTAGCGTTAGCCAAACTTAGCTTTAGCTGTTATATGTAGCCTGGCACGTACAGGTACTGCGATGTAAACCCTGCCTTCACCTTTCTGACAACTGGCTACTTGTCTCGAGTTGTGCTGGTGACAAGTTTGTGTTGGTGTCAGCGTGGTGTTCGTGGCTCTGTGGATAAGTTAGCCCGCCTGTCGTTTACGCTCAGTTAGCTAGTGAAGGAAATCTGTTCGCTTTACTAATGTGTGTTTGACAGCAGCTGAGATGCGTTTCTGGCGTAATGCCATGTCGATGTCGTTCAGCTGTCGTTAAACTGCAGTTTGAAGAAGAAAGCTGCCGAGTATGCCGAGCTAGCCTGCGGTGGTGGTGATGTGCTCCATACGGGCCTGTAGTCATCATCGGTGAGAGGAGCAGAAACAGTTTACTGCAGTAATTAACGACAAAATTTCCCCTTAACACGGGAGAAAACATTTCTGTGAGTGTCAAACCACAAACACTGTCAGGTGAAGGCGGTGCAAAGATCTCCGAGCCAACACCTGAACGTGTCTTATTCAGAAAGGTCGTTTAGAAAGCTTTAGCTAAGTGTCCAAACTAACGTGTCTGTACTTCGTCCCAGCTGCTGTCGTAGTGTCACAGCATCTGTTCCCCTGTCTATCCGCTCCAGGATGACATCATCAGTACAGGAGACGTGCAGGACTTTATCCACAAACCGCAGCTGCATGTGTGAGATGGAGCTGGGCTTTAAAAGATGTAAATGATAATGGTTTGCTCTGTGAGAGAACACAGCGATGATACTGCTGTTTTCTAGTTGGCAACATGAGAGGAATATCATGTTTCGTGGCCAGCTGGAGAGGGAAACAAGTGAAGAGGTGTGTCAGTGTTTCCTGATTAAAGGCAGCACATGCATGGGGGTCAGCCTCACAGCAGAACCAGGTTCTAACCCACCTGGTGCCTTTCTGTGTGCACTCTGCATGATCTCCCTGTGCCTGCACGAGGTCTCTCCCCGGTACTCCGGCTTCCTCCCACAGTCCAAAGACAAGGACTCGGTGGGGTTCGGTTGATCTGTGATTCTAAATTACAAACAGGTCTAAATGTGGTCGTCTGCCTCTGAGTCCTGCGACACACTGGTGACCTGTCCAGCGTGGACCCCGTCTTTCTCCCTGTGGCAGCTGGGATATGCTCCGTCCTCCCCAACAACCCTGAACTGGATGAGCAGAAGAGGATGGATGATTAAGGAAAGAGCCGGCTCTTTCATCATATTTTTATTGTGATACAAACGTCAGTTTTTCACGTGTTTCTGTAAAAAGCGTTGTTTCCTCAAATACAAAGTTATCGTCCCGTCGTCCGAGTCAATAAAGCTGCTTTTACTGAGTACCGTGGAGCTGCACATTGACCTCAGAGTCAGAGTAATTCCCAGTTGGAGTTAACAAAATATTTTGGGGGTTTTATTTGCCACGTGGGATGTGTGGAGTCATCAGGAGTCTTTATTAGGAAAAGACTTAAACAGGACAACCTGAAACAGAATCTTTTGTGACGTACATGCACACACGTATAACGTGATAACTGTCCGATTAATCAGTGATAAAAAGATTGTAAAATTTTATCGACATGGAGAAAAATGGGTAGTATTTAACAAGAAGCTTCTGTTTGCTTTAACTGGCGTAGGCTGTGGCGGTATCAGCAAACTGGAATAAACAGGTGATAGGCTCGGCTTTGTCCCTGGCTTCAAACCAAGGGTGTTTCTTTGGCTTACATTAAAAAGTGTTTTAAAAAAGCTAACCAGTATAACTGGAACAATCGATGTGCTGCTGTGATGCACAGTGTTCAGCACATGTTGTCTCAAAGATGCACTGAAGTGTGAAACCCTGAACGTCTGGTTGAGATAATTTTGAAAGTGCTATAAACAAAAACGTCACAAGTTGCATGAAAATAACTGTGGTGTCAGAGCTAACGGGAAGTGATTCAGTGACAGGTGTCAGGTGTCACTGAGAGGCAGAACGCTGCTTATTCACAGCAAACTTCAGAGCTGCTTTAACTGATTTTGTCTTTGTCTGCGTGTCTCAGTCATGTTCAGATGTCAGACCTGACTCTGGTTACTTGTATCAATGAAATCAATCAGTTTGCCCTGCTGGCCTTACCAGGAACATGAATACAGGGAAATGAACTTGTCAGTGTGAGCGCCACACCCAAATCCTAGAAAGAAGCTACCTGGTCAGACACGAGACACCTGTCCAACACATACCCAGTTAGCAGGTTTTATATGCTTGACTATAACACAGGTGCACTGGCTGAAATGTAGATGCAGGCAAATGACTGCACGAAAAGGAAGCACTGCTTATCTGCTCTTAAAATAGTAACCCTAACCTAATGTATTATGTTTAGTACCAGGTTAACAGGTTTGCTGTGGCGCAGTGGCAGGTTTATTCAGCGCGCTTAATCTTTCTGTCAATGACAGGAGGCAAAGGAGCAGACGGCGGGTCGGCCACGTCGTCTAAGACACAATAAGTTGTGCGATGGAGACGTGTTGCAATGATAGCTGCAGCTAAAGATGCCAAAACGCATGGAAGAGCTCGGATTAGACGAAGCTCAAATGAAGCGTCACGAGTGTTTGTGTCCACCGTCCTCCAGGACGTGAGGTCAGGCCACAGAGCAGCAGGGCAGCGCCCTCACTCACCCTTACAGACACATTGTGGCTGGTGAGCCCAGCTCATGTGGGCGCAGTCTGTCCAACCCACTGGCAGCTCACAGTTTCCATGCAGGCAGTTGTTGGTATCATCTGGGACAGTGCTGAACAGGCTGGTAATGACCGGGTGCAGATTTCTGCAAGGGACGGTTCAGCCCGAGCAGAAACCCACAATGTGCAGGAAGTAAGGTTTGAAATGACCAACTGGCTTACTGATCTAAAGTTAGGTCATGATTGATAAGTTAGTCAACAGTCAGAAGCTTCTTAAATGTTTGCTTTTATTTCTAAAAGAAGGGATTTTATTGACAAACACACATTCTCTGCTGCTTTGTCTACACCCGACTGTTTGTGTGGAACTTGCACAGTGATGATTAAGAGTGATTCAGCATGAGTAAGTGCAACACAAGTGAAGCAGGCTTTTGCCATAAATGACAAACTTTCTCAGTGCTCTGTCTCACTGGTTCTTCTCATCGCAGCTTCTTCCGTAAGCCGGTCGATGGGAGTGTCGTCTGTGTAACTGAATAAGTCTGAATGGAGCACATGACCCTGTTGCTTTTCCAGTGCTTGCTTGTGTCTGTGTGCACATGCATGTGTGAATATAATTTGCCTGAGTTAGTGTGAATGAGTGCCTTCTGTCTGCATGTAATCGTTTCGCTCTGCGTGAATGAATAACCTCTTTCATTACTTTGACGATGTGCATTTGCCAATTTGAAGGCTTGGCTCCACCCTGCACCTCGCCCCCGAGCCCCACAGTGTCATCATAAATGCTGCAAAACCCCACTAGATACAATAGATTTAACACGAAGCATTGGTGTTGGGTTTGAAATCCAAACACGTGCAGATTACAATTACACAAAACAGAGAAAAGTTTCAGTTGCATGTTTAAACTAATTAATTTTATGCTGTTTAGCTGCAGATAACAGAGCAAATGGTTCACTGATTACACTTCACTGAGTCAAGTGTGACCGGCTGTTTTTCAGCTCGGCTAATGAAGGTGTTACCTTTTATGTAAACAGTTGCACAAACTATCTGCGCTTGCATATAACCGCATATCAACGAGCTCTGCATGGAGCACGCTCCTTTGTGTTGTTGAACAACTCCCAGTTCAGCTATTGAAGGAGCAGGGTGTGACATGCAGGGCTGGCACAGAGGTCCAGACTGTGTTTGTTGTTAACACACGTGTCCACAAATGCAAAGTAAAAAGGGCATCGGATAGAAACGAATGCTAGCCTAACGATAAGTAATCACCAGCCAGAGTAATCTGTTGTTTAGTTAGCAGGAAAAGCTCAACTCTGCTGAATCGCAGCCAAATGAAAGAGCCTATAAAGTTTGCTCCATAAAAGGGTGTGAGGGAAGTCGTGTAGAGATGACTGTCCACATTTCTTTGGTTATGACAGAGGAGTAGTGCAGCAGGAAGAAAGAGAGGTGCTGAATAAAGATGCCCGAGTTCAGCATGTTTGTCGTAAACATGTGGACACTAAGGAAAGCCCAACGAGCCCGTTCAGCTGCCAGCCCGGCCCGTCAGCGACGCTCACTGAAATGGCACATGAGAGATTTAAGAGATTTTAATAACACCCCAAGGGCATGCAAACAATCTCAGGAATTTAGCAACTGCAGATCTGAAATTAAGTTTACACATTTTCCAAACTACTAGGCGAGGATTAAGTCAAAGATGATGTGCCTGGATTAGGTTCTTGTAACTTCATGTTTTGGTTTGCAAAACTGTGGTTTCATGTTGCTTTGTGTTTAAATGCATCGCAGGCTTTCAAAACCTAAATGCTGTTTACCAAACTGTAAGACGAGCAGCTGAATGGTCTGTTGCTCTGTTCCTTGTGCATGCAGGATACCTTCCTCTGGAGCTGGGCACACAGGAGGGAAGGGGAGAGCTTCACCCTGTTCTCCTGGCCGGCCCTCAGGAAAGCGGCTAGCCATGGATGACAACTCCTCACTGGGCAAAGTCAGCAGCTCCACTGAGTCCGTGGCCACCGTCACTAGTGAGGAGTTTGTTCTGGTGCAGTCCAGCTCTGCAGGCTCGCCGCAGGGCTCTGAGGGAAAACCGAGACTCAAGGTCGGAACTGCATATGGATGCAATTTCATATTTAACCGACTTCTGTTTTTGGCTGCCTGAAAGCTGAGCACGTTTGAGCATCATTGTCCTTCTGGTTTTTGTTGTGCCTGGGTATCACCAGTTTGATTAGTTTAATCCCCACGCATCAGGACTGTTTGTACCTGCATTTGTATGTAAATCTGTGGATGTCAGCTGATTGCATCAGTTAAAGACAGACCTCTTTGTTTGGTTTGTCACCTTTGCTCCACCCTGCTTTCATCTCTCCTTGTTCCTCTTTAAACTTTCACCTTTTGTGTTGCTTCTTTCTCACTAAGATGTCTTGGAATGGGAGTGAACAGCTGGAAAAAGCTATGGAGGAGGTGTTGGATGATGATGATGAAGTGAAGGTGGAGAAGAGCAATGTGGAAAAGATGGAGAAGCAGAAGGAGCCAGAGAGCCGAGTCCTACAGACCCAGCCTGCAGGTACACATTCAGGTCTGTTTCTTCATTCTCCCAGTCGCAAAGCAGTGATATCAAGTTAGTGTTTAATATACTGTAGTAGCACTGATACTTGGGAATTGGTACGTTTTGATTAAACAAGTTTCAATGTCATTGTTACTGGATGGATGGTGTTTGTGGTCGTCATGTTTTTTTTGTTTTTTTTTATTAATCCTTTATTTATCCAGGTAAAAAATCTCATTGAGATTAAAAATCTCATTTCCAAGAGAGACCTGGCATCATGGCAACAAAAGTCACATACCACATAGGTATATAACATTTAAAACAAATACAATATCCCATACCAACATGTGTAAAATATACAATAACAGATCAAATTAAGAGTACATTAAAAACAATCACACTGAGTAAAAGAGTTATTCTCTCGTT